CTCGGATTCACGTCCTTGAATGTGTTTACGAGAGGTCAAACAATAGCCTGAGGGTGCCAAGTAGGCTTCGCAAGGTCGCGAACCGGCCAAATTTGGCCGGTTCGTCAAGTAGCCTCTTTGCCAGATGGTAATGTAATTACACGCAATCCGACGGCGTTTATACTACACACGTAACTTTGGCGGGCTGAGAATGCGGATATTGGTGTGTTGTATAAACGGGCCCTATGTTGTTCTATAAGGCTTTAGGTAGTGGAGTTGTTTTGGTCATAAAAAAAATCCTGATGTGTGACAGGATTTGAACCCAGGACCCTGGGATTGGAAGACAAGCGCCTTAAACGTTAAAGCTGTAGTTACACTCCATCAACATTGCAGAATTTGAGCCCAGGACCCTGAGATTGGATGGCAAGCATCTTAATACCAAGCTATATTCTCCATTAACGTTGCAGGATTTGAACCTAGAATGCTGGGATTGGAAGGCAAGCATCTTATTACCAAGCTATATTTACAATCCATTTACATTGCAGGATTTGAACCCAGGACCCTGGAATTGGAAGGTACGCATCTACATCACCAGGATATACAGTAGTTTCACTCCATTAACATTGCAGGATTTTATTGGAAGCCAAACATCTTAACCACCATGCTATGGTTTCACTCAACTTCAATTTCCTATAATGTACAGTAGTACACATTTCCTACTTAAATTAATATTGATGCTACAAAATTTAGTTTTATTGTTCGATTACCTTAATTTTATAATTCTCTTGTTGATAAAGATAATTCTATTGATATTTATTATGATTCATTTAGAACGTTTAAACGTAAAATTAAGTTATATATTTAGATTTTTGACTGTTTTTTTGTGTGTATTGTAACTGGATTGTTCTTTATTGTTCTCTTTGTTTTATGTTATTCCATTCTATAAGTGGCGGGCTCCCCGCTGTTGATTGTGAAATGAAATAAAATAAAATAAAATATTGCAAACTCAACTGAAAAATACAAGAACCAATTAATATGTTAACTCCTTCATTACTGCAACAAGCCACTAACTACCAACTTCTATATTATCTGATAACCATCAAGTTTCTATGTCTATAGTATTACTCTGTAATCTCATTCAAGCTTCCCACGATCTTGCTTTTCCACATGATTTCATTCCCTTTCCCTGTGATCTCACTCCATCTGTCCCGATGTCCAACGGAAATTACCAAAATATTTGATTCTGGTAACAATTTTTTTGTTAAGTCATTATTTCTTGAAACATATCCTTCACAACTTTTTTCCTTATTTTTTATATTATTATCAGCATGAATTCTGATGATGCATTTTGTAGGAATGTGCTTAATGCTAGATATGTTAAGTATTCGACAAAGGTAGGCCTACAATAGTGCTCGATCACAAAGTCATTGATGTTATTTATGCAGCACACACTGCGGAAAAGAGTATGGTATTGTCTCCAAGCATACTGTCCAATTCACCACCAGATTTTCCTAAACACCATTTTCATAAATTACTATTTAACAGCATTCGGTAGAGCTGTAGCATGATGTTTAGAGGCTCACCTTTTAAATACAATGTCCTAGATTCAAATCCTATTACAATAACTTCTTACCTTCTGTAAGAGGTGAGTTGGGTGGCGCTGTTACAAAAGAATGATATAAAAAACAACCTCCAAACTCTCATCGCTGCTACCAATGATTATTAATGTTAAAAAGGATGTTGATTCTAAATCGTCCATGTTATTAATAGTTTTAATTGCAAATTAATTTCTTTCAGATGATATAAAAAAAATTTAAACTTACTGTGCACTTGTTAGGTTTTTCACCGGAGTGGACACGCATGTGAATAAGCAGCTTATAGCGTGCATTAAATGGCTTGTACCGTCTTGTACACCCTTGCCAGAAGCAAGTGAAGTCTTCACCTTTGCGTTGGTCTATATGCACTTTCTCTATGTGTCTGACGAGGTCATCTTGTTCCTCGAATGCAGCGTTGCAGTCAATCCACTTGCATGTGTGCAGCTTGCCGTCAATCTCTGTCTGGTCCGTGTTTACAGATGCCGGAGAATCTTGTGTCTGCCTGTTGGTTATGACCGGATGACCTGTGTCCAGGTGTTGATTATATGGAGGAGGGGGTGGTAGTGTGTCCGGATGATTTGCCATGCCCATTGGTGGCATGTTCGGTTCAAATCCCACAGTCGGATGAGGAGGGTGGTAGTTGGGAGCTACTGAAGGAGCCATAGAATTTGATGGCATTATAGAAGGTGCAAGAGCAAATGAGTTACCTTGTTGGGTGTATGTGTTAGGTTGCGAGAAACGTGGTTCTTGCTGGTAAGGAGCTGACGGTTCGTACGTACTGACAGGAAAGTTGCCTGCATTTGGAGTGAACGTGCTTGTTGGTGGAAAGGATTGATTGGGTTGGTAGGAAGAAGTTTGTGGATAAACATCCATAGGTTCCTGTTTGTATGTGAAGTCTGAGCAGAGTTCCTGCATCGCTTGGTCCCGTGACTGCACAATCAACTGGCTCTGCATTGGCTGAGTTCCTGTAGTCAACGGACCCTGTTCTATTTGCTGCATGTGGCGGTACACATTATAATCCTCTGACTGTGATTGCTTTGGAGGGTGATAAGGTGGAGGAGGAGGGCATGTTGTTAGATCAGCATGAGCAGGTTGCTGGTAATTCTGGGGAACAGAGGATGCCACTGACATTGGACTGATATTGTTCCTTGCAGACAAATGTCCATACTCCCCTTGCATTCCAGGGGAGGGCGAGAGGGATGCTGAAGAGCCACGCGATCCATTAATGAAGGCAACCAACGATGTTGGACTTGTGCGAATAAGTTGACAGATATCAATGCCATCAGCAGACAAAGGTGACACAGAGAGTGTACGCTTACGAGATCGTGCAGATCTTGCTGAATGTCGAGGACTTGCAAAGCTTGAGCTACTCGGTGAAAATTCAGGTGGAAATGGTGACAGAGAGATGTTACTTGAAGCATAGTGAGACAATGCTGAACTAGGCTGCAAGTTTTCACCAATCTCACTGCCAGCGTGTGAACTTGGACCAACACTGGTCTGTGGTGTCAGACTCGGTAGATGGCGGTAGCCATTTGAAGGCATTTCCTGTTTAATTCCACCATGATGCAGTCCATTGGTGAAACCGGTTCTTACATCACCAGGAACAGATCCCAGTGAATTCATTGTCGTGTTACGTGGTGTGTACCGGATACTTGAAATATCACTTAGGGTTGGTGATGGTCCAGATACGGATCTGTTGGTTTGGTGATGGTTCAATGGATAGGGTGCAGGAGGTGGAGGCATAACAGCACGATCAGATGACGTTGATATCTGTTGTATATGATGATTAAAATCATTTCCTGGCTTGTTTTGACCAGTTCTTTCTAAAAAATAAAATAAAAAATAATAAAGATAAATAAACATGAACGTTTGCTCTTATTAAGTTACTTGTTAATCGGTAAAAAGTAACACACAAGTGAATTCAACCTAATGAATGGTAGAACATTTGTTCACTTACTGCAATGGGTGAATCTCTTAAAGCGATTTGTTTGTTTAAGAATATCAAGTTAATATTATATAATGATGTTCAAAGCATTGGAAACACCAACAGTTGCTGAACTACCCTGGACAACAATTTAAGCTAACAGGTGTTTTGGTAACAATTTTCTTTCCCCAAAGTTTACGAAAATTCAGGATGCCAGATTTACATCCCTAAGGAATACAGAACAGGTGATATTTTTACTTGTGGTGACCTCTGTACTTTTTTATTGTAGAAAGAATCAGTAATCATGAAAAAAGTATTAAAATTAGACTATTCATTTACTTGTTTAATTTTAACAATTAACAATATTTGGTGAGGGTGGTCCACCCCAATATTTGTATGTTTATAACATTAACACATTAATATTGTACATCTGCTGGTTATTATTCTGCGGGTTATAAAATATAGAATATGACCAAAGTTCATATTCTATATTTGAACCTTTGTTCAAGCCGGGTCCCATATTAAAATAAATTTTTACTTAGTGGTCAGCAGGGGCAAGCTTTTCTCATATTGTGCTTGCCCTTAACAAGTTTAACTTGCCTTAACATATTTTTTGCAACGTTTACAGTGAGGTGTGTGCATGTAATTCTTTTTTTAATGTAGGCTTATGAATTGTACTGTATAACAGGTACAAATAAATAACAATAAATTAGACAACAAAATATCCTTCAAAACATGTTCCTCTTCAATATTTATGAACTATAACAGTTACCTTTATCATGTTATTAATATCTCTTTAATGATATTTACAATAGCATTCTCTACTTTAATACAGTATTTAGTATGTTTCATTCCAATAAAATTTATGATCGTCACACAAACAACTATAATATTTTACTCGTCCTTACATAATTTAGGTCGTCTCGGGCGATATTACAGCTGTAAAGATAGGACCCTGTTCAAGGATAAAGAGTTATACTCGTTTCACATGACAGAAACAGATTGAACCTTTTTAGCAAAGATATATCGGTTGTGAGAATGCATCCTAGTAAAAATATCAATGATATATACTGTATCTTTATAGCTTGGTAAAACGGCAGACCTCAAGTAGGCCTGAGATATTCCTGAGTTATTTAGCAACGATCTGTACGCATGGAAACAAGGCGCAGCTTTTTTTAGTACTTTGACGTCATACAGTATCTCCAGTTTGCGCATTCAAATGTACAAACTTTTAGCTAGGTTTATATTTAGTTGTGTGAAAGCTAGGAAGCTCAGTATGAAAATATCGGAACATACATCCCTCTTATTTAGTAGTTAAAACATTTTCTGTTGCGTGAATTAATTTTTTATTAGCTATAAATCAAGTAATAACACTGATGTATTTAAAGTGTCAACTGTAGTTATTTAAAAAAACACTATCAAAAGCAATCAATTGAGAGGTTTTATATAGCGTTAATATTCGCAGTAGAATATGTTTTTCAGGGGCGCAATGACGCAATTACATAATTAATGTAATTACGTCATTATTTATGTAATTGACATACCCTGATAAATGGAAAAAAAAAAACATTACTCATTGGTGCAATGACGCAATTACATAATTAATGTAATTACATCATTAATTATGTAATTGACATACCTTGATAAATGGAAAAAAAAACATTTGTCATTTTATTTTAAAGTACTCATAGGGAATTAACTACTGTAAACTTGATATAATATATTCAGCTTTGCTTTTGTCAATACACTACTATGGTTAAACAGTTTAGTAGGTCGATGCTCAATACTACACTATTCATAAGAACAGGAGAAAGGGAGACACAAGAGGAGAGAAAAACTGTCTCTTGGTATACATCACTTCCTGTACGCTCATGTACTGATGTGTTGATGAAAACTATGTCCATTGTTCTTTATTTCCTGTACTGATGTGTACAGTATAATGTTAGTACTATATGCTGTGTTGGTGATTGCTGTCCATGATCTATTGACTATTAACAATTGTCATTGTCAACCCATTTTAAAAATATCAAGTAATTTAAATCAAATAAATTGAGCAGCTGTTTGAGTTGCCAGGTCAACAAATGTGACATACATCTGTTGAGTGGCTTCAACCTGATGTCTTATTGGAGTGCTTAAAAAAAAAAAACAACTTCTAGACTGTCAGCCAAAAGGTGGTTGTGTAGCCTAGAATTAATCATTTTATAGGCTATCTGATATAACCTAAGCCCACAGCGTGAAACCAAATGGCACTCCTCTAGAAATCTGTGTCATTGACTTACTCCAACTTATTCAATTTCAGTCATTTAAAAATATTTTTCTGTCACTGTTGATGAATAGTGAGCGGGTTCAACAAAACAGGAATAAACACTCATTAAGAGAGTAGGAGAAGGAGGTTACTATGGTGTCCCTTGTAAGAAAATTATCATGGAATCTACAAGAAAGGAAACTGGTAAAGAATTTACAGTATAGTACCAAAACAGGAACAACTAATAAACAAAAACATTTTAAAAATGGAACATATCAGTAACAGCTAATTATGACATAAGAATTAAAGATGTTTTCTGATAAAATGAAATACTATACAGGTGTTGGACAAATTTACTAGTAAATTGTAAATTAAACCTAATTTCACAAACACCCATCAGCAAGTTACACACTCTCTCGAATTATAAATTAGAATTATGGGATGCTCTAAAAAAAATGTACATCACATTAATACCATATTCTCGCATAAGACAAGGCTTAAAATAGCAAGTTACGATTGAAAACAAGGAGAGGTTGGGGTATCACCTTATACTACGCCCAACAAACATAAATCATCCAAAAATCTTCTCAAAATCGTGGGTTATCTAATATGCGGATACACAAGAATAAAATTGTAAATAAAATTCAGATCAGATTATCAATATCATAACATCAGTTTTCTTAATCCCTAGTAGGGGTGGTCTCACTGCCTAGAGAAATAAAGTTACTTCATCTGTAAGCATTCAATTAACCGACTACTTTCCCATCGGATATTCCAGAGATTATTAAAGTCATGCCCAAGAAACCCCAACTGAAAGAAAAGGATTTACTCAAAAGGAAGGTGCCGGAATACCTGGCACTGCCATGATCCTTCAAGGCTGAAGCAGCCTAGACCTACCACAGAAGGTGCATTGTATTTTTTTTCTAATATTTTCCCAAAGCAATATTTGCCAGAATGCTGACTGAGCTTTCTAGAAATAATAACATCATTTTGGAAAAAGAAATAACTTTATAAAAATTTATTTACAGCTTGAGTTCTAAAAAGTGATTTTTTCGAAGCTTTAGAAATAGAGATGGATATACTGTAATGCAAATAAATAAAATGTATAAATCTAAATTCTAAAACTTCAAGTTTTGAGTTATAACTGAATTTTGTCTAAATCTATATTATAATATGCAGATTATTGAAACACCATGAGATCAATAGAAATCACTATAATATTCAGTGTATAAGCGCTATAACTATCCGTGTATCTCTCGTAGACATACGACAGAATTTGATACAACCTTGACGGGATCTCTCATTAACTTGCATTGAATAGTAGTGATCATCAGAACATAAACACTAGCTTATAAATGTTCAGGATCCTGCCTCTTCATAGTAAATCATCTAGCCTGGCCGACCTCTTGACCCTTTAATATCCACAGGGAACAAGATTCTTATTATATATAATTTTTCACTGATAATAGTTTCTATTCAGTAGCGATATCAAGACATTATGAGAAATATCTTATAATTTATACTGGATTAGAATTGGGATGCATTGGCTATTTAGGGGTCTTCAAATGGGAAGGCTTATTGAGGTGCCAAGATCAAGGGATACTTTAATAATTAGGTGAGGAATGATAGCTTGCAAAATAAGGTGATTTAGGATCATTTTTAAACTTGACCATGATTTTTGGAGAATGAGGAGCACTAGAATTTTTTTTTTGTAAAAACTCAAATAAATAAAGCTGACCCTACTATATAAGATTTTGACTTAATCCTGATTTACATCTATTACCATCATTGATATTTATTAATACCCTTAAAATTGATCATTATTATATGACAGTATCTTTCAATAAATTTTTCCAAAAGAAACCATCACTTAAAGAAAATCTATAGTTCTAGGAACAGAGGGACCTTCTTTATGTACTTTTCATTGCAGTATTTGAAACTGTTTCATAAGATGTTCTTGACCTGTTTGGAGAAGGTGTACAGTTCCCTGTGGAATTGCTTACATCATTGCAGTCAATTCACCATATTATCTCCAATAACTCTGTCACCAGGTTGAAATTCAGACAGGTTATCCATACTTTACCAACTGAAATATCAAATCTGTTTTTTACCCTCCAAAATCAAGTGGTTCATTTCTTTTTTCATTGCTTCATCTTTCAGGAGACTGTAACTTTGTCAAAATAAAGCTAACAACAAAATTGAAAAGCAAAACGCAAAAAGAAAATATGTAAAATTCATCTGGTTTACAAACTTCGCACGCATGTAATTTATCCATCAATCCACTTTTGTATAGTATGATTTAGTAAGGAAGTTAAAGGAATCATTATGGATAAGAAAAACAAGCAAAAATATAAACCAGACTGAAGGAGGACATGAACTCAGTGATATAATAGTTCATTAACAACAAAGAAACCTGTAGGTAAAAAGGGTAAACCAGTAAAAAGCTGACACTAGAATTCGCGCCCCAAATCACTGAAGCATGAATGATGACATTACAAAACACATTATTTGCGTGATCAATGCTACCAAAGTTGTTTAGTGCAACACCGTTCAGATCCTCGTATAAGACGACACCCGAGTTTGACAAGATTCTTGAACGATTTTTGTAATTCGGCCGTATAAAACACCACTCCCCCCCACCCAGTTTTAACATC